TGCTTGTTCAATGTAGCTAGCTTTATATCATATGTTTCTTTTGCTAAACCACAGGCTAGTTTGAACTATCTTTTTAAGACTGAAGTTATAAGTTTATTTTACTAACAAATAGTCTGAGCAAACCTTTTCTCTGGTTATAGGTAGAAATTTAAAAGTTTTGTTCTGACCAGCCTGGGCAACACAGCAAGACCCCATCTCTGCAAGAAATTTAAATATTAGCTGGGCATGGTGGCACACACCTGTAGTCCAAGCTACTCGGGAGGCTGAGGTGGGAGGATCACTTGAGTCCAGGAGTTTGAGGCTGCACTGACCTATGATAGAGCCACTGCACTCAGCCTGGGCAACTGGGCAACAGAGTGAGACCCTGTCTCAAAAAAAAAAAAAAGTTTTATTCTATTCCTGGCTCCTCAATATATTAATAACTCACCGAGAAATTTATTTAACCTGAAGCCCTTTGATTTTAGTTTCCTGAACTTCCACATTACTGAATTTTCACATTCAGTAACATCTTCATAGACTGAAAAAGTCAATATGTTTTGCTTTTCTATTGGTCAGCTATGAATTGGAATATCCTAGTAGTTCATTATACTAATCATACGTCCCTTATGAGTTGTCCTGAGAATTAAATAGGATAATGACACAAAGTGCTTAGCGTAATGCTGTCACGCAATGTGTGCCCTATATGTGCTAGTACTATTTTCCCCAGCTTTGTTGAGGTATAATTGATAAATAAAAATTGTATATATTTAACATGATGTTTTAATATATGTATACATGTGAAGTAATTAACCACAGTCAAGCTAACTAACATAACCCTTCAAGTGGTTACTATAGTTTGTGTGGTAAGAACAATTAAGATCTGCTCTCTTAGCAATTTTCAAATATATAATAAAGTAATATTAACTACAGTTACCATGTTATACTTTTGATCTCCATAATTTATCCATCTTATAACTGAAAGTTTGTATACTTCAGCCAAAATCTCCCCATTCATCCCATTCCCCAGCCCCTGGCAACCACCTTTCTGCTCTCCGCTGCTCTGAGTTGACTTGTTTGGATTCCACATATTAACTGAGATCACACAGTATTTGTCTTTCTGTGTCTGGTTTATTTCCATTAGCCCTATATCCTCTAATTTCATCTATGTTTTCGCAAACAGTAGGATTTCCTACTTTTTTAAGATTGAATAATAATCCATGGTATGTATATACTACATTTTCTTTATCCATTCATCTTTGAATGGTCACTTATATTGTTTCCATAGCTTGGCTATTATAAATAATGCAGCAAGGAACATGGGAGTGCAGATACCTCTTTAAGATAACTGATTTCAATTCCTTTAGATACATACTCAGAAGTCAGATTGCTGGACCATAGGGCAGTTCTATTTTTAGTTTTAGTTTTTTGAAGGCCCTTTATACTGTTTTCCATAATGACTGTGTCAATTTACAATCCCGCCAAGAATGTACAAGGGCTCCCTTTTTTCTA